CCTTTTCAGTACATTATCCATCGACTCCCGTGAACTATGTTTATCATTCCTATGTATACATGTAATATCATACCAAAAAGGAAAAAACAAAATGCCAAATGAATTCAAAATTAACAACAACAGTGTTAAATTATTGACTGACTTAACATATCTCGGTATTCGACAGGCATTTAAAATTTACTAGACATTTTGACAAAAAAATTAAAACAGTAAGGTCGAAGAGGTACAGACTCCAAAATTTAATTAGGTCAACAAACCTATCTTTAGGCCTAAAGCTTGCAGTCTACACAAGTATTATAAGGCCGGCTCTGTTGTACGGTGCACCTCTGTTCGATCATATCAGCAAAACAACTGGGAAAAGATTAAAATATTTCCAAAATGGAATAATTAGAAAAATTGTAAGAGGAACTACGATGCAGAGAAAGAAGGCATTGGTTTATACAAGCAACACTGAATTTATCAACAATAAAAGAATTTCTCGCAAAACGAAAAAAAATCATTTTTCGAAAAGTCCCAACAATTGGCAAACCCTCTTTTCAACAACTTATTACCAGCCAAAATTCCAAAATGTTGGCAACAACTCACATGAGATAGATGTTTTATTAATTTAGTCGTAAGCTCTATAGGATAAGGTCAACTCAAGCCTGAGGTGAGCCCCATCACCTTTTATATTACAGATGTAGAACAAAATACTCAGAAATGACAAAAAATAAACCTTACAATACTTTTAAAAAGTTGCAGTAAAAGGAATATTATGAAGACAATGAAAATCCAAGACAAAAATAAATAATAAGGGCCTATGATGAAAAAGAAAAAATATATTACATACATACATAGATTAATACTTTTGTGTATATATATTTCATACAAATATTTATTAATTTATATTTTTAAAACATATTTTATGGATTAAAAAAATGAATTCCGTAAAAGTAAAAAATACCGTGCAATAGATTTTTTTTTTTCAATACAGACCTTGTAGTTTTTTTCCCTCCATGACCCGCTTTCTCCATCTACTTATGTTCGGCTATTTCTTTCCAGTTGCTTGCATGCTATACAACTCTATTGTTGATTCGATTTATACATCTGGTTTTTGGCTTTCCATTTGGTCTTTTGCCTCATATTGGGGCATTCATTGGTTTGTAGAGGCTTCCTGATGGATTTCTCCGAGTTATATGGTCCGTACATGAGACTGACCTTTTTCTGTAAGCAGCTCTTTATTGGTCTTTCTTCTCCATGCGCTAGTACTCAGATCCCAGATAGCTTCTGTTATCCGTCACAGGATTTCTCTCTCAAATCTCAAAGATAGTTACGTATTATTATACATTCATTGTTGAGAATACTATACAATACTTTAATAATATACTTGTTAAAATTTTTCATTCGAAAATAAAATCTTCGAGATAAATTTTTCCCGAAATAGAGAAATCTGTTAACACTCGCAGGTTTCATATCCGTAATTTTTGTTGATCAGCTAATACGAAAATGGGAAAGAGTTCCACATTTGTGAATTGCGTATTTTACTAAACGTGATAACGAACTTAAAAATTCTTAGTATATTATCTAAATACATATTGGACGTACAAGTGTTCTTAATATGTATGTTTCTGTTGTAAAATGGATGAAACGGAAATCCATTGAGAAAATTCAATTTTTATTATTTTATTTGTTTGGTGTTAATGAAACCGACATTTTCCATTGGTCGGATCAAAACTAACTTAAGGTTAAATGCAAGAATATTATTGGTTACAAGTAAATGTAAAAACTAGTAGAAAAAATTTATATAGGTACTGGTATCTAATGAATAATGGCAAAAGTTTAAAGAAATGACAGCGGACCTCAAAAGCTACAATAACGTTTATATTGACCTTGGTTCGATTCCACTCAGGAAAGCAACAACACCCAATCATGTTTTGGGTCTGACTACTCCACTCATTCCGTCCTCATTAAAATCTCCCAAGATCTTCGCATAGCTTAAGACCAATAAAAACTTACCATCCTTATTCTCCATAATTTTGCGAAAGTCTTTCACTCAGTACGTACCACAAGGTTTATCCTTATCTTCCATCTACATTAATGATCGTCCCTCCTCTATCCTACACTGTCAATAGATTCCGATGACGTCTAAATTTATATTTAATTTGATTCGCCGGATTTTTCTGATGCCAACCTAAAAATCTAGGAAGACATCAATAACATATGTACTTGGAAAAGCCTCATTCGGCTCGTTCTAAACGCCGCGCACTGGGGCGAGCTAATGCTGCAGTTGGGTATTGGGTTTGGGAGAAAATAAAAAAGTCGAAATTTGGAAACTTTATTGCATTAATGACAAACCAATGTCGTTTCCTCTTCATGTCCAGTAATTTTTATTTAATTATCGCATTAATAATCCCCTGATGTGAGATGATAGGAAAAGAAATGAAAACCATCTTTTTATATTTAGAGCTGGTTTGCCGGTATTTTTTTCAAACCTAACAGTATGTGTTGGACAGAATTGGGTACTTCTAGTGGACCTAAGACAGCTGAAACATCGGTTTTTAAATATATGCATACTTGTTTCGACATTTCAAACAATTGCAAGCAATTTTGGTCCATTTCACAAATCAGCCGAAACCGAAAAAAAACAAAAAAAAAAACAGATATACCCTATTTTTATCAAAGATTTGAACAACTAAAAACAGTTCTCAGACCTTGCTGCAACCTTTCACCTCGGCAGTTATTGAGGATTTAACACGCGGGAACGTTGAATTTAGAATGACTACCATTACTTTTTATTTATTTTTTTACTAGAGAGTTCGAGTTACTATCAATCCAGGTTTTGACTAAATAATAACTTATTTTCTATACTGACCAAATTAAAAACATAACGAGTTTAATAGCTAATTTTGAAAAATAAATATTTTTTATAATTACATACATGTAACCTTATATATTTATATTTTATTCTAATAGGTCGTTATAAAATAGGTAATAAATCATACAATATCTAAAAATGTAATGTAATGCTATAACTTTGTCACTAATGCAGTATAACTTCCAAATTGTAACCTTATTCATTTATTTATTTGAACCCAATGAGGCAATACGGGTACGGGTTTTGCAGAATTGGGTTGTTACACATCACTGCATAACTGCCGGCTTCTGCAACGAGGCCAATGTTAATATTTAGATTTACTGTTTATTGCCTTATTCCGCTCCTCCTTGTTCCGGGGGCCTCCCTGGCGCGGGTCCTCTTCTTGTGAGGTTGGTGTGCGGATCCAATTGCTTCTTCCCACCCGTACACAAATTCTTTGTAGTACGGGTAGTTTTCTTCCGTAACTAGCTGAGAGAAATCGGTCTCTGTGAGAACATAAGAGATATGTTTTTCTTAGTAATCCAATGTCCAACCGTAGCATTAGCTCGACCAGTGTGCGCCGAAACGAAAGCCATCCTAATCGGATCCCCACACTCCTCAAATCCATTCATATACCTCCCAATATACTCTAGAATAACTCACCTATCTCATTCCTTACTTCTGTTAAAAACATTTGTGTTACCTTTGATCAAAATCTCTCCTGGAAACCACACATATTCCAAATGTTCTATTTCTTTTTTTTTTTTTTTTTTTTTTTTTTTTTTGTCCTCCCCTATGAGGGTATACGGAGTTTTTCCGGGCCAGGGAGTGTGGGCGGAGATTTAAAAGACTCCTCCGGCACCGGGACGCAAACTCGTGACTATTTTAAATCCATTATCTCGTAGATCAGGTTGCCGGGCAACGATGGTGCTGTGCACAAACGTTAGCTCGTTCGGGACTCCACCCCGCCCACTACCGTCTAATTGTGTATACTCAAACAGTTCAACCATCTATACTATCTCCTTCCATTCAAAACCCGTCAACTACTGATTTCCGCTCTTCTTTGACTATGGATGTATGATTTATGGTAGACTCAGAAGAACTCGGAACCAAACTTGAACTGTTAATGAATTGCTGAATACGATTTGTCTCCGGAATCTCAAGAGACACGTATATTACCGATTTGAATTGGATCTATCCACACTATCGCCATTAGTACTTCCCTGCTATCTTTCCATGCGAGGCTATTAGAACTCAGCGACCCTTCTATGTTTTAGAGTCTGTAATTTAAATCCTCCCTCCATTCGATTCCCACCAGATCCCGCACATCCGACTTCAATGCTCCTCACCGAACTGATACATTTGACAAATCCTTTGTAATTCCAGCAGTCTCCCTTTATCCCTCTCGATTTTTTGACTCGCACAATCAATTTCCTCTTTCGAATCTCTCCTCTTTAAGCACCCAAGGGTGCCCAGAAGGGGGTTCCATTGCGCAAGTTGCATCATCAAAATTTTTGAGGGGAACATATTTTAATGTATAGTAGGTTAATTAATTGAAATAGTAGATTTTTGTGCTTAAAAACGCAGGATCCAATAGTTCCGAAGGATGGTGTACGCATTAAAATCTTCATAGCCCAATTTGTCTCGTATCCATCTACAGACTTACCACTGCTCCAGTATTGAAGGTTAGCAAAATGTTTATATCGACTTTATTTATTTTAGAAAGAAGAAAAAAATCAGAGAGTATGATTCGCTAACCCCCTGTGAAATTCTGAATCCAAAGTACCATGGTATTTGAGCATGACAGGAGTTTATATTTGGAACAAATCCGATTTTGAGCCTTACTGTAATAATATATGTGGGGATAATATTGTAATATTAGTAATAATTATTCCTTATTAGAACTAGTAATTGTAAATTCAGTTTTAGTGGCCAACATAAAATCTAATAGAAAGAGTTGGACAGTCTTAAAGCCACCATTATTAGCAATATTTAAATAAAAATACACAGTAAATAAAACTGATAATTTAATATACATGTTTTCATTAATGTGTTATGTCCAGAGGGACATTTCATCTGTTACTGAGCTGACTGTTACTGTTGGTTCCAAAATGTCATTTTTATTAATTTATTATTTTTATTTTGGATTCAACACCAAACAATTAAATTATCGCTTATCAAGCAATAATGGAGTTGAACAAGAGCTCTTACATCCTTTCGCTAAAACAATAAACATTATATAAATATGTAACTATAAATGCTGAATATGTGATAAAATAATCTTGATTTCATACCTTCATTATTATCTTTAGTATCGCAATATAATGTGGCTAAAGTGTTGATAAATGCTCCTGCAAAAAATTTTAAAACAGGCATATTAAGTAAAAAGGGGAGTGAGTATGATACAAACATCCTTTAGTGTTGTCATGGATTGCTTGCAATGACCATCTGTCATTGCATATTGAAATAACCTAAACAAAAATAAATAAATGAGCAAGTTATATATATATAAAATGTTTTATTTTATATATCCTCATGAATAAGCAATTAGAAAATATGCATCTAACTAATATACTGGTAAATTTTATAGCCAAATAACATTTGGCCATAGTTAGGCGACTAAGGTCTAATCCACAACTGTTTTGTGTTTTTCATGCAATACTCTACGTCTTGACATCTTTTATGTATTGCGAAAAAGATCAAAAGCAGTTGATACATTTGTTTGCCATTAAAAAGTGTATGGATTAATTGCACCTCTTTTTTTAATACATAAAAGATGTCATAACATAGCCTCTTATATGAATAACTCAAAAATTCAAAATTGTAGATTGGGTGTTTGTTGCCCAACTATGGCCATTAACAACTATATTTGAATTTTTTAAAATTAAGTGTAGCCCATTCCGAATTTCTTTAGTATAGTTATTTCTAAATTAAATATATTCCTTTGGATGTTTAAACAATATTTTTTTTAGATTTTGATTTTTCGTGTAAAAAAACTTGGATTACTGTTGTGTTTCTGATTAAGAGAACACTTTAAAGAGATTTGTTGAGCTCTTAATAGGTTTTCCCTTTTTTTATATTTAAAGAACAGATTTCTATGGTATATAAATATAGACAAATTATTTTATAAAATACAAATATCCTATTGGCCGTTTAAAAACATATTTTTAAGCTTCATCCATGACAAACACAGCAATCATAAAACAGCTCCTACTTACATAATCATACACAACACAATATGTAAAACCACGTTTTGCATTACCTGAACTAGTAGTTGATGTACTGCTAGAAGTTTCACTCCTGCAATAAAAAAACAAAACACTAATATCAATAATTCAAACATGTAGTAGTCATTATGTTTCTCAGTGATGTTACAATTGCACTAAATATGCCTTATTGTGGTGAGATCTCAAGCTATACCAAAAGGATTATGAATCATCATGAGGAAGCAGCCAGGAATTATTGATTTCAACTATGAAAAAAATCAAAATCAAGCTGTTTCTAACAACTCATCTCAGATAATATGAAAAAAATTTATCTGCCCAAAAATTAGCATAATCCTCAATCTACAAATTCTATACACAGGATAATTACTTCTGGAGTGACAATATGGCACACCTTTGATTTTCTCATGTTGGGTATGCAGCATGTATGTCTGCTAAATACTGTCAACTATTCAATCCATTTAGAATAAGGAGCTTTAAGAGGGCTATTGGACTGGCTTAAGATAGAATATAAAATTACACGATATAAGCCATTTATTGCTGAGGTTTTTCATACTTTTGGCAATATTAGTCCCAACTTGAATTAAGGGGTCCATTCTTTTCTAATAGTGAGTTTCAAGTGAATGGTAAATACTCCAATGTATTTATCAGCTATATAAAAATTGTTGTGGAAAATTATTTGATTAATTCTCATTTTATTAATTGTATAAATGTGATATGTATTCTATTAATGTAAATAATATATAAAGTATAAATAAATGTAACAATATGGATAAGAGACCAATGAGATGCTTGGGCATGCTTGGCTTGGGCTGATTAGTTCCATTTCTATTCTGCTGATAGATTTCCATCAGAGCAGAGGTCTCCAAAATTTTTGACCCGCAGACCACATTGAGGCCTCCGCTAAGTCCTGCGGGTATTAAGACCTTCTATGTCCTACAGACCATGACTCACAATGAAAAAAATATATCTTGTTTTATAAATGACAGCTGTGAAATGAGCTTTCAAATAAACAAGTCATGTAATAAATATTGTAGTAACCTCGTATTGAGTAATTTACTAAATTTCATATTTTTGAAATAGTTTTTAAAATTTTACCTTGTAATCACAAAAACTTTTGTGGACCGGACAGGAGGTGCTTGTGGGCCATAGTTTGGAGACCTCTGCATTATAGTAACATTGAATCTCTACTACTTTTGCTTTAATACTCCACGATCCCATAGCAAAAATGGGCCAGAAACTTGTATACAAATTGACAGGATCTTTGACTATGTGATTAACTTTGCTCTATCTTCAACTATCTTGGATGTAATACTAAACCAGCAATATTTGATATTAGAAAAAGCCAGATTTTTTAAAACTAATTTTCCTCACCTTTTTAATTGAAACCTGATTGATTTTTAGGTTTTTGATTAGGATGTGCAAGATGTGACAAAAAGTTAATTGTTAAACGCAAGAAAGGACCATTTATTTATAAATGAGAACAAGTGCACTAGTATATTAAATGTCACATTAATCATTATAATGTTAAATTAATAAATATAATTTTCTATACATTATTAGTAGCATAAGTAGAAAGTTTCTACTTATGCTGCTAATAATATTAAGTTAGCTTATTTCTATTACTACTTTAGTAATAGAATTAAACGTTAGCTTATTTCTATTACTATAACAGTAAACGTTAGCTTATTTCTATTACTATAACACTAAACGTTAGCTTATTTCTATTACTACTAATAAGTTAGTTAGCTATTTCTACTTATGCTACTAATAATAACATGTTAGCCCTAGTTTCTACTAGAAACTAGGGCTAACATGCAGGAGAGTCTGATAAATGTTGAGTAAAAATTATATGTCGTCAAAACATTTGCTCTGTAAACATATGGGAATATAAAAATAATTTCAATCTAAATAGAAAATACCACATTATTTCTTTGTATTATGACATTGTAACAAACTTTATTACTATATTTGTTATTTATAGTTTAAAGACAAAATAAACTGGTATTTACTAAATCTAGATTTGTAAGAATATTAAATTTCGACTTGATTATTTTAACATTCACAGTAAAGAAGGGAAGAAGATTGTTGTGAATCAAAACAAAACAACTTTTACTTACTTATCACCATACATTCAGTAGAAACTATTTTTTTTAATTTATTTTTTTAAATTTAATAAACCTTCAGTTTCACTTTAACTATAAACACAAGTTTATAATTTCAGTGCACTAAAAACAGTTTTTGTTTGTCAAACTAAAAATAAATTAAGTTTTAAATTTATTTCAAATGGAAAATCCTTTTATTTCCTATTCAATGATAATAAAAGAAGAATAAAATTGAAAACTTCAAGAATAAAATTTCACTTTTTCATCACTCTCCATTACCTTCTATGACCATGAGAAGTAGTTAATATTTTTTCTAAAATTTTTAGCTTTCTGATCGTTTATTGAACATCAATATTACTACTCTTATTTCCAGAAACTTTTATTCAACCTATGGAAATATTTTTTCCATTTTCACCTTACGTTAATGGTCAAATTCTTTTGTAGTTGATATTTATCCATATTGTATTATTACAAACAATGAGAGATCTTTAATTATTTTTATTAATCAAAAGTAAAATTACTTTAGAGGAAGGAATTTTGAAAAATTACCATTTTAGCCCTGTTAGGTTATTCATTGAGGATGAAAACTAACTGAAGTAAAAGACTATTAAATTTTACATTGGTGTAACAAATTTAAAGAAAATTGTTAGAGTTGTTTTAGAGAAAATTATAAAAATGTGTAAAATCTACAAGGCTGAAATGTTAAAAAATTAAATAAAAATTTGTTTCTAGTGAAAAAATATTTTTGTTATGGAAAATTTTTTTTTGGTTGTATTTCGATCTTTTACCTTAAAATATTATTGATTAAATTTAAAATATCTTATTAATTTTATCTAAAATATTTATGTTTCACGCGACTACTGTGGGATATATGAAAATATATCTAATAAATACTTACTCAGAAGAAGAAGCGCAGCATTTTATCAAGCAACAAAGAAGGCACACAATTATCCAAAATAATAATATGAGAGCTAGCACTGCAGCAAGATAGAATAGTGGTGAAGTCGTCTCGCATTCACAATTTTCATCAAGACGTAAGGCAAAGTTATCAGATAAAGGGCCTAGGCCATCGTCACATTTTGATAAACCTATACATTTCACAATTTAAAATTTTTGAAGCTTAAAATGTCGTTTTAATGTTACTGTTTCAATTTTATTAAATATAATTATAAATCTTAATGGATATACAGTGAGCGGGGTAGCTCAGTAGATAGGCTGGGTAAGACTTCCAAAGCTCAAGGGGCAAGGTTTGAATTTGGCTGTTTCATCAGCCTTAGATTAGCCCTGGAGTCAGAAGACCCTTCTGGGGCACATCCAGCATCAATATTATTGGTACTCTTAATTGAATAATTAATTAAGGAGAAAAACTGTTGGCTGAGTGTGATCCTGGCCCGATCACCTCCTTACACAACTGTTGGCCTTGAAACAGTACTTCTTTACAAAGTAATGAACCTTAGAACCTTCATGTAGTTCAGGTTTTTAAAGTGAATATACATATCATGAGCTCATTTATCATCAATGGATGTTTCTGAACTAATATAATTTCATTTAACAGTCCATGTCAAGACACTAAAAGATGTCTAAATTTTCTTCTTGATTCGGTAACTTCCTAGTACTAAGGCATTGCCATATTTTTCACTCTTCTTAAACCTCCATAAGATTGCGATAATATTTATTTTACTCATGGATTGTCACCTAACTGTTTGTAAATCCATGTTAAAATTAACAAATGCTTCTGGATAGTTGTCAGCAAATGTTATTGAGACAAAACATTTCATTTTTCATTCCAAAACTAAGCTAAAACAATTTCCTCTCCAAAAAAATATGTACTTCGCAATTTACATATTTGTGAAGACATTCAAACTTCATAAAAGTTTTTAAATCATGTTCAATAGTTACATAGTCTGCCAAAATATATACTGTTTTAAATCCCAAGATAATAACATCTAACTTGAATAATGGTCTATTATGAAGTTCCATGTTTGGGGGGAAAAGACTAGAGAAGTTAACTCATGTTTTCATCACTTATATCTTAAATGGAGATTTAAAACAAAAAATCTACCTACTTTTGAAAATACCACTTGTGCCAGTGTTTAAAAAGTTAAATTTGTAATTCACTTTGTATCTTAATTTTCTGTTATCCTTAATTAAACAATATATTTCAATATTTAAAACCATATTCTACCTCTTTGTGTCATGGCTTCAAGAATTCTATAGACCCCACCAAACCCTGGGTACCAAATCTCATCATGAAGGTGTGGCACTACCTACAAACAAATATTATAAATTTTTTAATTGCTATTATAATATCATAAAAACAAATAAAT